CAGGCATCACTTAGGACCACGGCGCTCCGGCGAAATGACGTGTGCTCCGAAGCCCAACTTCTTTCCATCTATTTTTCCGTTCCTTTGTGTAGACAATAAACTATTCCTACTATTCTGGCCTCAACTGACTTCTCTACTAAGTAAGCATGGTTTGACAATCACAGTTGCTAGGGTTTAATTATCTTAACCCCCCGCGATACGTATAGACGTTAAATCGGCCTGTCCAGATGGTCAACCGTAAACTGGAAGTGAGGTTGCGCAAAAAATACCTGTAGCATCTCCCGGGACAAACTGGTGTCCCCGACGTAATGAATACGTAATTGCCAGATGTGGATGAGTTCAATGGCCACGAAATACTTATTCCGGTTTCGTCTGTTGTGAATAGGAAAACGCGGTTACCGTCACTTCTTAGGTGTTGTGACGAATGCTAAGAGCTAAATTCGGCCATGCGAATTGAAGTCAAAACTTTAAGCAAAACGAACTGAAAAATAATGCTAATCGTTTGTCAGCGGAATACACTTCCACTCCCACCACAAATGAGTTATCTGCACGCACAAAGCATTCGGACGTATCTACATAGATAAAGCTGAAAGAATACGACACTGTGTTGTATGCCAACATTTTGCACGGAACGCAATAAGCCTAATTGGCTGATGCAGCATTCCTAGTCTCCAATCCAACGCTAACCATTAGACCCTGCCTCTAACTCATAAGTCTAACCCTAGCTCTTGTCCTAACATCTAATCCAGAACCTTATCCTTGTTCTAACCCCAATCCCTAAGGCTCACCTCTAACTCTGACCTATACTTCTAACACGAAACAAAACGCTAGTCCTGAGGGTCACATTTAAGGGAGGCGTGATGGAATGAGGAAAAGGACGCCGATTAAATTAAGCCTACTCATGGAACATAAGTAAAAATTTAACATAAGTAAAGACTATATTCGATCAAATACTGACCAATCTCCATAATCTCCCCTCCGTATCCATTCACTGACACAGGATGTACTTCATCAGGCCAAACATTCATGCTTTATTCACGTATCACGTTTTCTCCCATTAGATGAACGTCTACCTGGACAGTTTAGTTTAACTTATTAATGAGAGCTAGATAAAAGGCCGCGAAACTCTATGAGGTCAGTAAATTCTGCGTATTTGCCTTGTTCAAACTGATTCCGGGAAACCAATGCCTCACTGATAAATTAGGCTTTCTTCCCCCGGAAGCTGCAGCGTAATAAGATCAACTCATCCTTGATTAGACAATCAGACACAACTGAAGTCCCTCGGTGACTCGCGAAATTATCCCACATATTCTGGTGGTAAGGTTATGAAAATTACTTTCACTTGGCTCTGAATCGTTGCAGCCCAAATCAAACCAGTTACGCTTGTCCTCTGAGAACTGTCCTTGTGACTTCGGTTAGAGGTCCACAACAAGGTCACAGTGCATAAATGAAAAACGATTCAGGTGGCGATTAAGGTGATAGACGCTGCGGTGTATGAGAAATGGGCCCCCAAGCTAAATAACGGTTAACAGTGTTTGCCGCCGACAAACTCATTTGAGGAGACCATTGTTGAACAGTATGCAAAATATGCTAAAGCAACTACAGTAACAATTTATTGAGCTTGGTTAGCTTAGTATTGTGATTCGAATTGCCCTGATTGCCGAGGTTAGTATTGTGGTTGGAATTGTCCTGATTGTTGAGGTTGGTATTATGGTTGGAATTGTCCTGATTGTTGAGGTTGGTATTGTGGTTGGAATTGTCCTGATTGTTGAGGTTGGTATTGTGATTGGAATGCTCCTGATTGTTGAGGTTGGTATTGTTGTTGGAATTGTGCTGATTGTTGAGGTTGGTATCGTGGTTGGGGTTGTCCTGATTGGTAAGCTTGGTATTGTGGCTTGAATTGTTCCGATTGGTAAGCTCGGTACTGCGGTTGAAATTGTCCTGATTGGTAAGCTTGGTAGTGTGGCTGGAATTGAGCCGATTGGTAAGCTTGGTATGGTGCTTGGAATGGCGCGTATTGATAGAATTGACAGGCCATCTCCATGAGGCTTTTGGCACACTCCTCCTGTGCCGCAGC